GGGCAAGTTTGGGTCGTGACAGAGTGATATCAGAGCACGAGTTAATATCTCACACACGTGTCCATTGAGCATTAGACTGTCTAGAACAGGTTTAAGATTCATGCATATAGAAAGTAAGTAGTAAGTTGTGCATTCAAGAATATGTATATACATTTGTGTAATATGTTTAAGTATTGAAACTAAATATTGTGAGCTATTATGGAATTGTGATGATTATAAGGAAACCGGAATATGTTTAATTATTTTAGCAAATAGGCTAAAAGCTAAGAATTATTGAGAAATTTGTAATGTTATAAGGAAATTAGAATTTTTAACTAGAACATTGGGGAGTACAAGTATGTTGATTTGTGGAAACATGGTGTTACGAGAAATTAGAATCTTTAATGGAAGCCATGAAAGTTATATGAGTTATATGTCAAATTAGACTATGAGAATATTTGGGAAATTGAGGAATTTGATGATCAATGTAGTATGTGGAACTATGGTGATTGAGGACAAGAAAAGTCAATTGATATGTAAGATGGTACATTTTGGCAGGAACCTGTTATGTGGAATGTTAAACCGTAGAGTCTCATGCCTTTTTTGAATGACCTTGAAAGTCCGATTGGAATCATGTTTGGCCAGCGTAGCTTCGAATCGGAAATTCTTGGTAAATTCCATGGGAATGAATAGGTTGCCCTACCAGTGTCCTTATATGCCTATATGTGTATATTTACTTATATATGATATGTGCTTTGTATTATAATTTAAGTCAGTTAAATTAACCCAAGTATTATCAACCATCTTCTTGTGTTTAACCCTTTTCTTCTGTCATTAGGAAAAGATAATGAACGGTATGAAGGAAGTGGAGGTTGAGTCCTTATTGGAACGATTAGAAAATGTAGAAGAAGTACTAGAGAACATGGTGAAAACTGTGAATGCTATAATACATGGCAAGATCAAAAGGAAAAGTTAAGTGTGGAAGTAAAACTAAATAAAAGAAGACGACTAAGAATTTTATGGTAGGAGAGACGAGTAATTCTAAGCAAGGTTATAAGAGAAGTAAGTTATCCCAGTATGTTCAATATGTCACAAGATTCATTGGGGATTGTGTCGTCAAATTACTGGAAATGGGGGAAGTTGGGGCATCAAATAAAAGACTGTTCCAAAATCTAAAAGAAAGCTCAAATGATTTAATTGGTTAACGTTAGTACTTAAGTGTAGACACCCCATTTTTGACTGTCCTTAAGACTCAGACATCATCAATTGAGCGCTCGGTGATGGTGCATGCTGTGCTCGTTTAGAGGTTTCGGAGTATTGGCTGAGAGCCTTGCCTTCGGGCCTCTGAACTCTTTGTGCTTTGCCTCGGTTCGTGGACCGAATCTTGTTCTCTCTTCCCGGAGAGAGGGAGAGGTCTTGTAGACCATCTCTTTGTGGTTGTAGACCACTTTTTGTGGTCGTAGGCCACCTTTCCCGTTTGGAGACTAGTTTCTGGTTTTCGGAGCCTTTGGCCGCACGCCTTGTCTCGGGACCGCTTAACGTTCTCCGTTTGGCATGGTTTTTGAACCACACCTTGTTGCCTCTGCCTAGAGGGACACTGTGGTTCAGGAGACCACTTTTGTGGTCGCATACCACTTTTGATGCTTGTTTTGCCTCCCGATCTCTTGTCTTGCATTCGCTTTGGTTTGTTTTTGGCACAAACCTTATTTTCCTTGTTTGGAAGGTGGTACAAGGGTGGGAGACCACTTATTCTCCTTGGAGACCACTTTTCCTTCTGCCAGCTAGTTTTCTGGTTGGACAACTGGCTTTCTTGGTCTTTGGACCATCTTTTCTGGTCGGCCACCACACCACTTGCTTGTTTTTGGTGCCTGGACCTCTCCCACCTATGGCCGACCAGTTTTCTTCTTGGAAGACCACTTGAAGTGGTTGGCCGACCACTTTAAGTAGCAGGAGTGGTCGGCTGCTTTTTGACACATTTTTGGAGATATTTTCCTGTAGCTAGCACAGCTGGAGGACATTTGAGCCATCCTCCATACACGTGTATGGAGGGGTTTCCTTAGCCCTTAGCTTCTCCAAGAAGTTTTGGATTTTGTCTTCTATAAGAGGGAGGCTCCTCCTTCCTCCTCTAGGTTCAGAAAGTTGAGGCTTGAGAGATAGATATACACTTGTATCTATTCTTCCTTGTTTGTTTCCATTTTGTGCCTTAAAGTGTAGATTTGTCTTGGTTTAACACACAAACACACACTCAAACACCTTCCTTTGGTTGCTGAGGTGCTAAGATGTTATTTTTGGTGTTCTTGGATTGGTTTAAGCTCAAAGAACTTGCTGGAGTTGTAGTTGTAAAGGAGGTCTTCAAGGGTGAGTATTTGACCTTTAAATCCCCCTTTCTTGCTTAAGCTTTTAGCGGCAACAACAATCTAAACCAACTAACAACCAACCAGTTCCAAACACGCCTAACATATTCCAAAACTCGAATTCAAAGAGTTAAAGAAGGAAAACAAGACATGGATACAATATTAAACTACGAAACCCGAGTCCAGAATATAACAAAAGTTGGGTCAAAACCGGGATCGCTATAAGAAATAAGGATGCAGGAGACCAAAGATTAAAAATTGATCTTTATAAAAAAAAGCATAAACTTACCATGAAAAAATTTATCAATTGAATTCTTCACAATTGCTCTCATCACCAACAGTTACAACACTTGATGAACATCGACTATAATTTGACTTGAATCCAATAAGTGCAAGAGAGAAGATTTATGGGAGATGTAATTTTCTTTTCATAATTTGTGATACACAATTTAAATTTTTAAAATTGATTTAGTGTTTTTTTTTTCTTTTAAAAATCATAAATTATGAGAAATTAGATTTTTTTTTTTTTCTAATGGTTAGATGGCTCACTTTTGAATTTTGAAATGGGTAAGTATACTTTCCTTTTAAATTTCATAAATCATTAGATAGTTATATTTTTATTGTTGAAAAAGTGTTACCAAATAGATTTTTTTTTAAATTTTAATAATAAATAAAAATTAATCCAGAAATTTAGTATGTGGGTTTGGAAATAAATAAAAATAAAAATAATTTTGATTTTTTTAAATGTAATTTTGAAAGCTTTTCTTTTTCAAAATTAGTTGTAGCATAGATAATGTGACCATTTGAAAGACTTTTATAAATTTTAGATTTTATTGAATTGTTTATCATTTTTAATGACCTATGATTTTAATCTTGAAATGTGTATATATATATTTGAAAATCATAAATTATGGAATAATTAGTGTTTTTTTTTTATGATTATAATTAGATTTTTAGTGAATTGCTTCCATATTAGTGGCACACAAATTTAAATTTTGAAATAATTGACCATATTTTCCTTTCAGAAGTTGTAATTTATGGAATAATTAGAATTTAATTGTTATGGCTAAATTAGAGTTAACCAATAGACTTTTTTAAAAATAAAAAATAATTAGATTTTAGTGAATTGTTTCCATATATAGTGCCACACAAATTTAAATTTTGAAATACTGGAGCATGCTTTCTTTTTTAAAATCGTAATTTATGGAATAATTAAATTTTTATTATTATGATTAAATGAGATTTTAACTAATATAATTTTTTTATTATTTAAAAATCAAAAATCAAAAAATTTTGTTTGGAAGTTTAGAATTCCCACAAACTTTATCATTAGAAATCTCATTTTATTTATATAATATATAGATTCTAACACAAAGTCAAAAAGATTCGAATAAAGCTTGAGACCCCACCCCCAGTGACCTCTAGTGTCACGTGACAGCGCGTGATTGGAAGGAGAAAAAAAATAAAAAAATTGTTTTTGACCTACTGAAGGTGCTAGGGTGCCCCACTGGGAGTCCCTAGCACCACTGAAAAGATTCCCTCAAAATTGTCAACATGTGACCTAACATTCATTATAACTTAAAAGTCAAAATATTATTTTTCTTCCTATATTTTTATACATTTTTTTAATAAAAAAATAAAAAAAATTATTCAAAACGTATTAATTTTTTCTCATCATAATTTAGTTAAAGTCAAAAAGTTAAATGAGTACGTCTAGCAACCATGAAAACTCATTAGAGAAAATGAAATTTTGAAGGAAAATTATTTAAGTGCGCTCTCTTAATAATTGCAATGCCCTCTTACTGTTTCATTTCGCCGGGTCATCATCACTTCTCCTTTTTGACGATTTGTTATATAGATATTTTAGAATAGATCATGAAATTATAAACAAAAAATTTAAATTAGTATGATAATTATAATCAGATAATTTTATTTTTTAAAAATAAATCATTAATGTTTTAGCGATAAATCTGGTAAAATAATGTAATTAAAATTATTAAATTAATCTAACAAAAAAAATTTACCTAAAAGATCTATACATAGAAACTTAAAAATTTAATAGACCGAATTATCAAAATGAGATCATGTAAATCTGATGGTCCAGTCCTCACCATTGTAGAGAAACAGCTCTCTGTTTTTTCTTTATCATTTTATATCAATGTGACAAAAAGTAAACTCACGGGTTTAGAAATAGTACATGACTTGTCCCCGCGTTTTTTTCTTTGTCGTTTATATCAATGTAATAAAAAGTTAACCCACATTTTTTCTTTGTCCCCTACTTTTTCTTTGATTCCGACTTTTTAAGCTGACTCTTTTAAAAAGCTGATCAATTAGTTTTGAAAAATATACTACTAAGGTCTCATTTGGGAACAGACTAATTTAATAACTTTTTAGCTATTTGACTAAAAAGATAGGTAAAAAAAACTTGTATGTTTGGGATGACTTTTTGACTAATTACGAAAAGATGTGCAAAAAGTAGAGAGAAAAGAGAATCTTTGACTTTTTTGTATGAGTTGTTGGCTTTTTGGCTAATTTAGTAACTTTTTGACTAATTGGCTAAAATAGCCTCTTGCCAAACGAGGCCTAAGAACGGAAAGTGCCAAATTGTTTTAAAAATATTTTGAAAATAAATTTCAAAGTCAAAAAAAATCTTTTGGCCAAAATGATTGTGGGGAAGGTATATCACACACCAGTTCTGCTACGTAGTTCGAATTCTTCGAGCTCAAAATTGGTCCGAATTCAAAATGACGTCGTTTTAAATTTTTTTTTTTTCTTCTGGCAGCAGAAGAACAAAGAAGAAGAAGAAGAAGAAGAATGAGAAAGAAAGAAAGAAGAGAAAATGAGAGCAGCAAAGCAGAGTAGAGAGAGAGAGATCCAAAAATGACGTATCATCATCAACAACGTATCATCATCTCTGTGTGAGGGGAAGGTATATCACACACCAGTTCTGCTACGTAGTTCGAATTCTTCGAGCTCAAAATTGGTCCGAATTCAAAATGACGTCGTTTTAAATTTTTTTTTTTTCTTCTGGCAGCAGAAGAACAAAGAAGAAGAAGAAGAAGAAGAAGAAGAAGAAGAAGGAGAAAGAAAGAAAGAAGAGAAAATGAGAGCAGCAAAGCAGAGTAGAGAGAGAGAGAGATCCAAAAATGACGTATCATCATCAACAACGTATCATCATCTCTGTGTGAGAGAGAGAGGCATCGACAACATATCATCATCAACAATCCAAGAGGCATCAAAAATAAAAAAAAATTGGATTCAAACCCAAATCTATACACATCATCATCAGATTTTGATTCAAACACAGATTTTGATTTTGATTCAAACCCAGATGTGTACATATCATCATCATCATCATCAGATCTGTACACATCATCATCAAAATAATAAAAAAATTGGTTTCAAACCCAGATTTTGATTTTGATTTTTGATCTTCTGTACACATCATCATCAGAGAGATTCAAACCCAAAAATAAAAAATCAAAATCAACACATCATCATCATCAAAACAGATCTGTACCCGTCGGTGATAACAGCTCCGGTGTGGATCATCATCACATCAACATCTTCCTCCTCCTCTTCCTCTCTTCTTCCTTCTCTATTTCTCTTTTTTTCTCTCTCTCTCTCTCTGGGTTTGGTTCAACCTTTGAGAGAGAAACGAGAAGTGGAAAGGAAAGAAGGGGGAAAAAAAAAATTCAAAATCAAAACGATGTCGTTTCCAAAAATCGGGCCATTCGGGGGAAAATGTTTCGAGTTACAAAACATTTTCCATCACACTTAGGCCTCGTTTGGGAACAGGCTAATTTAGTAACTTTTTGGCTATTTAGTTAAAATATGAACTAAAAAAAATTATGATTGGGATGACTTTTTGACTTTTTACGAAAAGATGTGCAAAAAGTAGAGATAAAAGAGAATCTTTGACTTTTTGGTATGAGTTGTTGGCTTTTTGGCTAATTTTAGGCCCCGTTTGGGGACTTACTTTTTTAGCCAATTAGCCAAAAAGTTACTAAATTAGCCAAAAAGCCCACAACTCATACCAAAAAGTCAAAGATTCTCTTTTCTCTCTATTTTTTGCACATTTTTTCGTAATTAGTCAAAAAGTCATCCCAAACATACAAAAAAATTTTACCTACCTTTTTAGCTAAATAGCCAAAAAGTTATTAAATTAGTCTGTTACGAGGCCTTAATCCCCAACTTGTTATTTGGAACGATCTCTAATTTTTTTATCGGAAGCTTTTCATAGAGCAAGGCCAATTAAAAATGAGGTGTTTAGAACTACTTCTACTTTTTAATGATTTATTTTATTGATATTTTAAGTCTCTATGTATAGATTATGAAATTATAAATAAAAAATTTAAATTGATTTAATAATTATAATCACATAATTTTTTAAAAATAAAAAATAGACAATAAACATGATTTTCAAAATAGATCATTCACTTTTTAAATATAAATTTGATAAAATAATGTGATTAAAATAATCAAATCAATCTAATAATTTTTTTTATATAAATAATCTACGTATAAAAACCTAAAAATTTAAAAGATCGAATCATCAAAATGGAATTATGGCAAACCCATAGATCTGGCTAGATGGTCCACTTCAAAGCTACAGAAAAATTAGTAGCGATTTTCTTTCTCTTATCAATGTGACAAAAAGTAAACACACCGGTTTTGAAATAGGATATGGCTCGTCTACCATTGAAATTTTAATTGGACCAAACAAATAATTTCGTATCTGAATAATGGTTAAAATGAATGATAATATGATCTTATAAACACGTAATTGAATTTTGATTTTGAATCCTAACTTAGATAGCTTAAGTTATTGTAAAGAAATTGAACTCTAGTGTTAAACAGAAGAAGGATATCGTAATGGGAAATAAGAAAATGAATTTCATTAGAATGACAATTGTATATTTCTTAACGGGCCTTTGGAAACATAAGAATTTCAGTCGGCTAATTGTAATGATTTGAGAAAGTTAAAAGTTTAGCCCAAAGTTACAGTGTAATAATTTATCAAAGTCAATGAATATATCTATACAGGTCTAAGAATTGAAATAAATATAAAGGCAATGTAATTTGAATTACTTATATAAGTGTAACCTTAAGTAAATAAGGAAGCTAATACAGAAGCTAATAAGACCGCGAAAAACGTAGACCTATTGTGAAATGGAATCACTACTTTGAAATGATAGCATGAGAAAGATTGTCAAAAACGGTAATTTTAATTTCACAGAAGTATGTAAAGTTCTGCTCTGACATGTATGACTGTCGGCTACTATATGAGTACAACCCACCATCTATTACTTACAAAAGGCTCAATGAATTTCTGTGAAATATGCTTCTGTTATGACTCTGATACACTTATGTTTCGAATCCGATGTGCCTCTCTGTTCCAAAATTATCATCATAATTGGTATCCAAGAAGTCTGTTTGCAACTGAGACCATTAATATGTGATTACATTTCCATATAATTCTGAAATTTCTATTATAGATCAGCATGTGAAACATTATTTGGGGGATACTACATTATATACGTAACTTACGAACCTATGTCATGGTCAATGAAAGTTAAATGACCGTTCTTTTGGGAAGCAATGAAATATGAATTGCGTAGAAAATAAAAAAAAATGTCTGGACTATTATAATCAATAGATTTGAAAGACTGAGAACTTGTATTTGTTATTAGTGATGCCTTGGATATTAAATTTAATTTGAAAACTGCATATAAAATGTCAATAGCGAAATATTTTGATTTATTCGAAAAGTGTGAAGAATCATGAACATCCCTTAGAATAATCTTCTACTAGTAAGAGTATATGAATTATAGATCGGTGAATTAAAGTGTATGAGTTATATGATTGATGACAATAGTTATTAACATTTCATGATTGGGAACTAAGTTCAATTTCTGTGAAGAGAATCCAAAGAAAAAGGAAGTTACGTAGGAAAGGAAATGAAATGAGACCAAGTTATATGACTGATTTTCGGTACAAGTATCTTAAGTTTGGAGGACCAAACTTCCTAAGGAGGGAAGGTTGTGACGATCCCGCCACGTATAATGATTAGTAATTAATTAATTAAGGAGATTTCAATTTTAATTACTCATTATGCTGATTTGATTTGGGATTTACAAAAGTTATGGTGACTAATTCGTAAATGATTTTATTAAGGATTTATGTTGGAATTTTGAAATTGAAAGCCTAAATGGTTCAAGAGAGAACAAATGGTGAATTGAATTATTTTAATTTCGAGTATCGGACCATATGGGAGTTTAATTAATTATTCGATTCAGATTTGTGAAATTGAGACTTGATTAATTGGGTACGAATTGGAGTTAATTAAGTCATGAGGATTGGAAATTATGATTATTTTGAATTAAATTTATCTAAAAGGCATTTAGCTTGAATATGTAAATTATTGACGGAAATCTTGAGTTAATCTGAAATTGAAGGCGTTAATAATGTGAGAAACCAAAATTGATGATGGAAATAAGTCTAATTTAATATTTGGAACCTTTTGAAAGTTTGATTAAAAAACCTGATTCAGAATGATGAATTTGAATATAATTAATTGGGCTCTAATAGAAGTCAAATTAGACAAATTAAATTATGTAGGATTTGTGATTAGGTATGATTAATTTAATTATGTGTTAATCAATATTTATTAAGACTAAGTGTTATTTAATTAAATTAATCTTAACCATAAATTAAATTATAGAATGATAAAGAATTTGAGAATATATGTGGGTGTGCTGAGAAGTATGTGTGTGTGCAAAGAAATCTGAGTGTGTGCACGTGTGATATGTGTTGTCAACAAGAAAAGGTGTGCATGCATGTGTATAGGTAAAAAGGGCTTGTATAAGACCCATTTAGTGCTCTGCTGAGAGCATTTGAAAAGAAAGAGAGTGGATTCAAGAGTGTAGAGAGAGAACCGAGAGACAGAAAACCAAAGAGAATAAGAGAAATTAAAAGGGAGCTCAAGGTTTTAAAGGAAGAACAAGAAGAGTTGGAAGAGATTCAATTAATTTTTCTGAAATTAAAACTTAAGGGATGGAATTTATGTTTAATTTGTGTAGAATCCTTACATTACACTTACAATTAAAGATGAAATTGGAATCAAAATCATGTGATTAAAAGGAATTAGCAAAAAGATAAAGAAAATTAAGGTAAGTTCATGTTTATGGAAACTAATTATTTTGAGTTTGATTTTTATAATCTTGCATGAAATTAAGTTCCATTGCTACATGCATGAGGGAATTTTATAAGTATTTAAGTCCATATTTACATGCATCTTGGATTTTGAAGAAATTGAGCCATTCAAATTCTTATTTTGAAGAGAAAAGGAAATGTTTTATGAAAATCAAGATTATGGAAATTTGGAATTAATCCTAAAGTTAGATAAAGTTTTGATTTTATAATTAGATTTTTTAATCCATGCATGTAACGTAATTTAAGATTTTATTTAAATTAAACATATTTTGGAACATCTATGATTATGAATTGGGGTATTTTTTTTTAAGGTCACTGATATTAAGATTTTATAACATAAAGGACATCAAATATTTTCATGATGTCTAAGGTCCCTCAACATCGATCCAGAGAAATTTCAGTCCCAGAGAAATTCTTTCCAGAGAAAATTGAAATTCTCTCTAGAGAAATTCTCTGGATTCACACTAGAGAAAATTGTGGAGAGAAAATTTGTGTAGCTATTCAGGAAAATTCTCTCACTGCACAAATTTCTCTGGCTCTTTTCTAATTTTTGCATGCCATTTATAGTGCAAAATGCCAAAACTCATCATCTCATCTTTTTAATCACTGACATCTATAAAATACATCAAACGTTTGATAGCAATGGCAAAATTTAACAACTTCAATGACATCTCCATTGAAGTACCCAACTGCTATAACATAATTATGATAGTTCAAAACAACAATTCTATTGAATCCAATGCATCAAGATCCAAAATAACTATTGTCCTGTATAGTTTGAATACAAAAAAGTCTTCTACTTTGATTTATACTTTTGAAGCACTAAATTATCAGTTAGTTCTGGCATCAACTATAAGTCTTTTCATAGTGTTTAATGATTGCAATAGTGTAATTTCTAGAATAGAGTATTTGTAAGAGTTGAGAGAACTAAAAGAAATGCACTTTGGAAGTCTAAGAAGTCTCTACACATAAATGGCAATAAATGGTCACCTTCCAACCACACACACACACTCACAC